CCTGAAGAGGCTAGGAGTGATATCTACTTGCAGGTTGTCCCTTTGATTGATAGCCATGCAGAGGTATCGTCAAGGGATAATAAGGTAAACAGCATTATCAAGAACTAAGGGACAGCAAACAAAAATTGTTAAGGTCAGACAAGGGAAAGGCAGTCGTGGCCATGGAGAAAAGATGATGCATGCACTAGATGATAGCTTAACATACTTGACTATCAGAAGACCCTAATGAAACCCTAAAGTCTAAACTTAGAGGATGCCTGCATAGTGTAAAAACTAGGAATTAAAGGTAGAAAATGAGCACATAACATCAACGAGATGTTAAACCCCCAAATACATATAGTCTGTCCAAGATAAATAAGGAAGGAATCTCACTAAAAATATTGTTAATAATAAAGGTAGCGTGGTGCATAAAACATCACGATATATCTGCCAGCAAATAAGGCAAATCATCGAGTAATGACATTTCTCAATAAGAAACTTTTATGAATTCGCTCAGTTAGTCGATGAACAGAGGATAGAAGATGGAAATTTGCTTGTTAGTTTTGATGTAGAGTCGATGTGCACCAATATCCCTTTAAGCGGAGCTACTCAGATTCTAGAATTAACTTTAGGCCAAAAGCCAAATATTCTAAGAAATATAAATTTAGGTAAGGAGTCAATAATAAGATTGATGAATTTGGTTATGAACTGTACATATTTTACATGTAATATTAAACTCTTTGCACAGTTACCTACTCGTCCAGCAATTCCGTCCCATTAATTCGGTTGATGAGGCGGAGGAAAGTATGAATGTCAATCAACGGCCGATCTGGCCAAGCCCAGCCCGGGAAACGGAGTACGACCAACTCGATTGTAAAGGGTGTTATTGGCGGCGCTCTGGCTTCTGGGTGATGCATTCGAATAGTTTTCGTTGCGATTAGGCCCGCAAATTAAACCATCAGTAGGACTAGCAGGTGGAGCAGCGGAAGTGGACTGAGAGCAGGAAGCTGAATAGAGAGGATTAGCACAATCATTATAAGAAATATAAATTTAAAAAAATGTTTTTAACGCAATTTTACGCAAAAGTGATATTGCTTCAAAAGGCGTGCTTCATAGAATTTGCCAAACACTTTAAAGTAAAGGTAGATTTCGATAATAATTCTGATAGATTCCTTTTAGGCTAACCTGGAACAAAATTTGTGATAAAAAGAGAAAATTGCTGAACTCTCACAATGTTCATAACTCCCTGAAGCAGCTTTATTAATTAGATGCTCGTGGATCTCAGCTCTCTCACCCTGCCTCCTCAACTCTCTTATCGATGCAGGCCAGAATGAATTGATCAGATTTGCCCTACCCTGAAATGCACTTTAAACAATATGCGGGTGTCGGGGTATAGCGACGAAAGTGGCTGCTCCGTCTGGCTTTTGCCAGCATAAGGATGATCGAATATTTTTATATGCCTAAGTACAATAGAATCCTACATTATTGGGAGAAAGAACAGGATATATAACCTAGGCTTCGCAAATTGGTCGGAGCATCAGGTAGACTGTTGGAGCGCAGTAATGCCATAGTATTCATGATTTCTAACATCGGACCACTGACTTTGTACATTACCAGACGTTTCGCTGGCAACATAGTTTACATTGACAATAAGAGGCACCATCGTTAGCACAGAGGTACAACCTATCAGTAATAAGTGAAGGCATTCGTCCCGGTTAATTTTTCGTTAAACCGTTATTGCATAAGTTCCCGACCATATTTTCTGTTCTACTTTCTAGCGCCGAAACTCTTTCTCTCAATCCCACTTCATATGGCATATTTACCTATTCACATAATTTTATACTCTCGTTCCCTCCAATGTCACAACAAGTGAATTTAGTGAGACATACTCAGTCTCTCCACCGGTTTCAGATACCTTTAACAGGGTTTCTGACATTCATTCAACTCGCATTGCCCTCTTGTTGCTAATCGTTAAAATCAATGACTGGCTGTCCGAAATCTAGCTGCCTGTGACTCTTCAATTCTCGTCCCCGTTTACGTCATATTCGAGGATGATGCCCATGCCTAGGCATCTTGCTCTCTCTAGGCTTCAGACCCTTTATCCAGTTATCCTCTTTCTCATCCCCACTCGCATTGCCTCTGATTATTTGGGGCCCTGTGTCCGGCTTAATTTGGAAACGCCGGTGTGAAAAGCTACAGCTTCCTTTTTTCATTCCTGAATCGCGTAAAGCACTCTCCTCTTGTCTCTCAAGCTAAGTCAGTAGTTCATGTGTACATAAGTTGGTATCCCTCCATTTTTGGTCAGACATGTCATCATTCGCCTAGCATTAAGGCACACACCTTAAAATACCCACAAGCAAACACACACTCAAACTGAGGGCCTATCTCTAACACACTTATACCTTTAGCCTAGCACCTCTAATGGATCGTAATCCGTCTGTTTCTGGCCTTTGATTTCCTTTACCACACTCCACAGATGGACACACATCATTAACTAGTCAGGCTGATTCCAGGTTTGGCTCCTCTCATTGCACTAGCCTTTACTTGATTTTCTTTATCCCCCATGAAACTCTCCTTGACGATGCATATTCACATTATTGAATAGGTATCCTTGGTTCAGGCGTGTTCTTTTTGTAGTCCTCGCTGAATCTCCAAGTCTGCCCAGGCAGTACGCGAAATTATGGCTGACCTTTCCCTCTTTCAATCTCCTGTTCGTCAGATTTTTTTTAAAACTGTATGTAGACAGCCTTCAAAGCCAGAGGAATTAGTCAGGATTATCCATCTAGTTGCACTCTTGTTGCGGCCACAAGTAGAAAAACAATGGTGCTGTCTGCAAGATCTGCAAATTCAGGAGTAGGAAGTTTCTAAAATGTGCTAAACGAAGTTGGTTTGAGTTGAATTTGGAGTGGAAAGCCTGTCATATAAAGCTGTGGAACGAGTGCGCCAGGGTCTATTTATATTTGAAAGCCAGGACCTCTTTTCAGTTGTACCTGATGTCTGGTCCGAAGTCATATTTAAGGAATTCGACTTTTGAGGGATGCGAGGAATGTCATCAATAAAATGTTATACTTAAATTCACTTGAGTGATTCCGGGGCTATTAAACTAGAAAAGTAACCCTATTGCTCTTTCAACGTATACGTCGTGGGTCAGAATTCGTCTTAGCACCAGAGTACAACTGGCCAAAATTATGAAATAAGTCAATACCATTTATGAGCGCTATGTTGAATGATAACGGTATTCATCTTTAACCACTACATGCCGAATTATCCGGCCTTATTACCTGGATTGCCAATAAATGAGGCATAGCCTGGTTCTAAGGGTAAATCAGTTAAATTACAGTCGACTTTAGTGGAGACGAAGCCTCTAGGAATGTAGTTGGCAAATGGTCAGTAATATAAAAACACAGGACAATATTTAAGGTTGTAGAAAAAGTGAGTTACA